TCCAGAGACCATCATTATAACACTGGAGTTCAACCACTTATCTACCGCTGTACATCTATCAATGGCAGATTGGTGACCCTTACTTAACTAGTGCTATTTCTGAACAACACTAGAATAATAGCTCTCGGGTAGCTGATCTGCCAGTTGAACGCTGTGTACCCAGGTGCCATTAGACATTACACAGAGACACTGTACCCAGCCGATCCGATCGATGTGATTGGCCATCACAACAGGGAGAGGAGAAAAATCCTGTAATTGTAAATGAGTACAGAATGAATGGATCGGCGGCTGCAGCTGCTGAATCATTCATTCTGCTGTAGTGACACAGGATCAATTTTTTTTAACCATTTCCTGCCCCACTTACACATACTATTTGCAATACAGTTGTTAGTGACCAGTAAATTAGCCCTTCACCTTCTTTATCCTGTCCATCTGAACATTAACCCCTTTATCTCCATCCTGCCTCCTTCCTCTGTGTATGACCTGTACTTTAATGTTTATCATTTACCACTCTGAAGCTGCAGTTTAAACCTCCTCGGTACCGGCATGTTTCTTCATTTCCAAAAAATTATGGCAAAAAAAATGAGATCACCATGGGGTGTCTATTTTTCAAAAAGAGTTATTTTAACAGAAAATAAGGGAAATGGGGTTTTTTTTTTTCAAAATGTATGATCATTTTTCCTTTTTTATAGTGAAAATAGAAAACCCAACAGTTATTAAATAACACCAAAAGGAAGCTCTATTTGAAAAAAGTAATATAAAACGTATTTGGGTACAGAGTTGCATGGCAGAGTAATTGTTGGTTAAACAATCACAACATTGAATACTGAAATAATGGCCTGGTAAAGGGGTATTACAGGCTGCTATACAAATGGTTAATATTTTTATATTTTGCCTTCCCTGGTTCTTCCTTTCTTCCCTTACCAACATACTTTTTTTAAAAATAAAACCTTTCTGTTTCCATCACTTACCATATTTTAGACCCATTGACGTCAATGGGTCTCTCTGCTTTTCTATACAATGCAAGCAGATCATGGTGGGGCTGGCGGGGGGCTCTACATAGCTTCCGGAAAAGATCACAACACCATATTCCAGTATTTTCAAGAGTGAGGACTTCTTCCATCCCTGGGATGATGTCATTGTGATTAGGAAGAGGATTTCTGCAGCACAGGGTGAAGGTGAGTAAAGTGAAGTGTCTATACTATAAAGGGGTGTGGGGAAAATGATAGTAATGAAAAAAAAATCTTGCCCAGAAAGAGACTTTAATAAACATTTGTTTATTCTTTTTTTTAGAAGAATATACCACAAATTATTAAACAGCAAAAATATAAACTGTAAAAATAGAATAAAAACTATTCCGCAATATGCTAAAAACCATTAAACTTAAACACAAGGAGATCCATTGCTAGAAAGCTGTGCCAGAGTCATCTATTTACTAGTGTGAAAGAGATGTTATCAAGTGTTATGACAGTTCATTGGAAGCTCCATTTTACTATTCAGTTTGTTTTATTATTGGCTGTAAAGAAATGCAGGATTTTAGAACTGCAATACAGAAATACAGATTCCAGCTGAGCAAGCCGGGAAAAAGGCTTGGATGTATTTATTAAAGTGCACCTGTCTTACACCAATATTGCAAACAACTATAGGGAAAATAAGGCAAGACAACAGGAAATTTCTGCTGAAAGGAACATGGAGGCTACCACTGCTGACCTCTTCTGAAAATGCTTCTTCTGAAAATAGTTGCCTGGCTGTCACACTGAATCTCTTGCTTCAATACTTTGAGGCACTGGTCTAGAACAGTGTTTCTCAAACTTTTTTCAGTCAAGGCACTGATAAAAATGATGCATAATTTCAAAGCACACCATCTTAAAATAAAAAAAAAAAAACTAAATTAATAGGTTTACAAAATGCAGCAGCACCTACACATTTAGGACACTCAAAATTTGAGGTGATTTATTTTACAAAACCAATATACATTCTGCCTGTCTGAACAGTGCCCAAGGTTGTAATGATGCACAATACAAACCTGAGGCTTTGTGTAAAAATAAAGGCAGGCTTGATACCCCTGCCAGCTTCTTGCCAATTTTTGGGCAATTTTTAGGCATTTTGCCAAGGCACATTTGAAGAAACCAGAAGGAACTGCAAAGTATGCAGAAAAAAGATTTTTCTATTGCAATGGTTTTTATTAATGTTTTAAACAGTATAAAACAGAGGCAATAAAACACGCCCACGCAGGGGCTATCAATTGCACAGATAAAAAAAAATGCAAAATAAATAAATAAAAAAGAAAAAGAAAAACAGTGCTCAAACGCCAACAGGGCAAAAGGTACGCCCACGCAGGGGCTATCAATGGCACATAAGTTACAAAACATTAATGTAACTGACTATAACAACTAAAGGCAGCTGTCCAGTCACACCGAAAACAGATAGAGAGAGAAAGGAAGAAAGAGGAAAAAAAAAAAAAAAAGGGGCAAAGAGCAGGGGTCCAAGAGCACCAATACCGAATGCCATTACATCCCCAGACTAGCCGGGGGGAGTGTGGGAAAGGCATATTGCAACCACGGCTCCCATATTTTCAAAAATGTACATTGGGAGTCGTTGCGGATACTCGACATCTGTTCGTTGAGCATCATAGTGGTCATATGATCCCGCACCCCCTGAAGAGGGAAAAACGGACTCTTCCAGGCCTGAGCAATTGTTCTAGTGGCCGATAAAAACAAATAGGAAGCCAACTTTTGCTGGATTGCCAAGAGGCCCGGTATGGGGCAATGAAGCAAGGCATACCGAGCATCCCGGCGTATGGAGAGATGGAACAAGGTGAAAAGGAGGCCAAACACACGAGACCAAAAACGAAACAGTCTCGGGCATGACCACCAGATATGCAATACATCTCCATGATGGCCACAACCCCGAAAACATTGATCACTATAGGCAGGGTTAGCCCGGGCCAACCGAGCCGGAAACCAATACCAACGAAACAATACCTTATAGGCTGCCTCCAGTGTGGTCGTATTAAATGAGCATTTAGCTATGAGTGACCAGGCCTTATTCCAGTCCTCCGGATCCACAGCCACTCCCAGGTCACGCTCCCACTGAACAACATATGAAAGAGAAGTATGCGATGAGCGTCTGTTCAGAGCTGCATAAAGAAGGGATATAAAGCCCGGAGCGCCCGGACGCTGTTGGCAAAGCTGTTCAAAGGCAGATTTCTGGTACGGGAAAGCAGAAGTGGCCCGCAGCGAGAGCAGCCAGTGTCGCAATTGAAGGTATCGAAAGAATTCCGCCGAGGGGACATTCCGGGATTCCCGAAGAGAGTTCCAGGTGGGAAAGGACCGAAAAATCAAAAAGTGTTGCACCTGCGAAAAACCATTAGTCACCCACCAAGAAAAGCCCTTGGGTGATCTGGGAAAAGAGGGTTGTTAATAATTGGGAGCAAAGGCAGAAAAGGTGACATCAGGCCACCAGAGTAACGTACCGAGTCCCAGACTTGTAAGCCATGAAGTAACATCGGAAGAAAAAAGATTTTTGATCATATTTCTGTATACTTGTCTCAGGTATGTGGGGGTGGGTACAACATGTTGAGTCAGTAGTTAATACACTGACTCCCGTTGCAAATGACAAACCTGTACTGAAGTAATGGCCCAAGGCTACAAACAGCCCAGCGGGAAGGCACCCAACTGGGAACACTCACAGTTCTGTGCAATCATGTAGAGCAGAGCAGGTTCTGATGTGCCAACAGTGTCTGTATCAGAGGGTGGAGTGCGGCCTGGCTCCTTTGTGCCCAATTTTAGATTCCTGGAGAGAATAGCATGTCTGAAATAAATAGGGGGTGGTTTTGGATTTCCTCCTACTTATATTAAAATTAGTACTATCTTTTTGGTCCCTATAATTAGCGAGTATATCTAAGCTCTGACAATATTGATAATAGCAATATATTACAATATTATCTATATTTATAACACAGTGCTCAAAGAAGCAAGGTCTTATTTAATTACTAAGAGAGTAAAACACTAACAGAGAAATCTAAACAAATATTACAGAGCACTTAGAGATAACAGAGCAAAGATGATATGTTATGAAAAATGAATCTTCTAAGTTCAGTATCTGGCTGGTCTCTGGGTAGAAAAGGGAAAAGGGACACTAGTATGACCAGGCTTGCACTTAAAGCACTCACAGACACCACCCACACAAACACTCATGACCTGCCTGGTTTAGTCCTCTGTCCAGTGAGCGACAATCCATAATTCATAAGGGGCTGTATAGTATTACCCCAGTCATCCTCCAGAAGTAGGTCTCTACCAGGGGCCACTGCTATATTGCCAAAAATGTTTTGACTGAGGTCAACATTCCAGTCCACATCCAGTTTCTTCCTTCTGGCTATAAGCCATGTAATCTGTCATTTTAATCTTTGTGTCACCAGGGAGTCTGGGCTGGGGCTCTCTTATTTCCATGCCCCACCGCTAAGGGGTATGCGTCAACCCCCAGTACCAGGATTTTGGTATGCATTCTTTTGTTACACACACACTGTTGTAAATTCATGTTTTACTGACACTTCAAGATGACAACCAACAGATCAAATGGTTCCTTGTTAACCAGGCTGTAAGAATCCATAAATGTTTGATATAAAAACAAGTTGCCTTCCAACAATGTCCTTATCTTTTCCCTACTTATATGGAACCTTTCCCTACACTTTCTCTGACAGATGGGTAAACCTGTCCTTACACTGTCCACATCCAAAATGTGTGCCAAACCCCAGAAGCCAGAATCTTAACCGCTTCCCAACCACCCTATAGCAGATATACAGGGCGGCACAGGTGTGCAAAAAATCATGTGTGTGTATATATATATATATATATATATATATATATATATATATATATATATATATATGTGATTTTGCATTACCGGGTAGGGGGTGCACACGAGGCAAGCATGCGCCCTACTCGTGCTGGAATTCGCGGCCGCGGCTGTCAATCACTGGGGTCCCAGTCGGTGATTGCGTGCCGGCGCCTGGTGATTGCCTAGCATCTCCTCCCTGCACAGCATAGCCATCCAAAGCAGTGTGATTACAGTGAAGCACACACACACAGACACAAGTAAAGCAGCACACAGTACAGTTAACCCTTTGATCGCCCCTCATGTTAACCCCTTTCTGCCCAGTGCCATTAGTACTGTGTCAGTGTTTTTTTTTATCACTGATCACTGTATTGGTGTTACTGGGGATTTCAGTGACACCAAGTCAGTTCCCCCCAGTGTCAGAATGCCTGCCGCAATCCCACTATAAGTTTTTGATCGCTGCCATTACTAGTAAAAAAAAAAAAAAATTCCAGTATCTATACCGCCATTTAAAAATGCTAAAACTTTCATGCAAACCATTTAATTTACACATATTGGGATTTTTTTTAGCAAAGACATAGCAGAATACATTTTGGCCTAAATTTATCATGATATTAGTTTTTAAAATGTTTTTTACTGGACATGTTTTAAAGGCAAAAAGTCAAACATACTGTATTGTTTTTTTTCTCAAAACTGTCGATCTTTTTTTTTTATAGCACAAAACATAAAAAATGCAAAGGAGATCAAATACCATTAAAAAAAGCTCAATTTGTGGGAAAAAAGGACGTAAATTCCATTTGGGTGCAGCGTTGCATGACCGCACAATTGTCAGTTAAAGTAACGCAATGCCGTAACACAAAAAATGGCTTGTTCAGGAAGGGGGGTAAATTCTCAGGAGGGCAAGTGGTTAAAGAGACTCTGAAAACAAAGCTTACCCAAGCTCAACTACTCTATTCACTACATGGAGACAGGAGACTGGTGCACTGGCTGAGGCATCCACTCCTCACAGCAAATATCCACAATACAAGTAACTTGGAAAGCTTATACATATGATATGAATAAGGCTTTGTGAAGCTGAAACGTGCCAGTTTTATGGATCCTGTATTTATGTAACCAATAAAGATTTCCATTAAGAAGCTTTCAGAGTTTCCAGCTACTTAAAGAGACTCTACCTGACCCAAGATGGCCACCAGTGTCACATGGGGCAGCAGCACCCAATCAGATAGTTTCCCCAGTGAAACCATAGAGGAGCTGTCCCTCTGAACTTCTTCTCTCTCTGCAATGCTGCTGCAGTTTGAATGCCACCTACAGTTGAGAAAAGACACTGCACCTGCCTCCATATGTGATTCAAAAACTACAGAAATTGCAGGTTGTCAACCTGACAGCCAGGAAACTAGCATTTTTAAGAAATTTGCATATTTTTCTCATGACAGGTTTACTTTAAATTGTATGTAAAGCCAAAATGTTTTTCTTCTGTTTGGATACAGTAGGAAAGATTTTATTTGCTATGCCCGTTTGTGGAGAATTTCACTTCACCTCCTGTCCCCAAGACACAACAGAAAGCAAGAAGATAGTGCTGTCATTACTGGATTTCTGTATTTCTCTGTGCTATGCAGACAGATCATGGCTAGTGGGAACGGCTGACGGGGGCTATACCTATCTTCCTAAAAATGTCACAGCACCCTGCCTCAGTCTAACTCTCAAGAGCCCTCAGCCCTGATAAAAGCAGTAAGCTGGCTCTTAGGATAATATACAGTGGGGCAAAAAAGTATTTAGTCAGCCACCAATTGTGCAAGTTCTCCCACTTACAAAGATGAGAGAGGCCTGTAATTGGCATCATAGGTAGACCTCAACTATGAGAGACAAAATGAGAAATAAAATCCAGACAATCACATTGGCTGATTTGGAAATAATTTATTTGCAAATTATGGTGGAAAATAAGTATTTGGTCACCTACAAACAAGCAAGATTTCTGGCTCTCACAGACCTGTACCTTCTTCTTTAAGAGGCTCCTCTGTCTTGCACTCATTACCTGTATCAATGGCACCTGTTTGAACTTGTTATCAGTATAAAAGACACCTGTCCACAACCTCAAACAGTCACACTCCAAACTCCACTATGGTGAAGACCAAAGAGCTGTGGAGGAAATAATTAGATAATGCTGGAAGTCTTCCAGCCAAGAAATTAGGTGGGCTCTTTCTGACTTGCTGCTGCAGCTTCTAATGCGCACTGTGGGAAGCTCACATTGTGCGAAAAAAAGCAGACCAAGCAGTTTCAAAACAGGAGAAGAGAATGTGCAACTGTGCAAAACTGAATGTAAGGCTGGAGTTTAGATTTTGGCTGAAATAGGTTGCACCCAGTTCTGTTATCATTTAGCATACTGGCATCAGTGCTCTAGCCCAGCCTTTCTCAACCAGGGTGCCCAGGCACCCTGGGGTGCCTTCCGGCTTCTTCAGGGGTGCCTTAGCAACATGCCCAAAATTGTATACAAGCCAGTAGGTGGATCAATCCTGCCTGCTATTACACAAAGCTACATGTTTTCATTGTGCACTTTTATGATCTTCTAGCTGCCAGCATCCTAACAACCAATGACATCATCAGTTGATAAGGAGGACGTCGGGTGCATGCACCTCATCCTTGTTTGGCCCTCCCCTGCTCCTCTCAAATAGCACTGAGGTCACATGAGGTCACATTAGCAGAGTGAGGGAGAGAAAATGAGAGAGACACACTGGAATACTAGTTGATACCAGTGTGCAAAGGTATATTTGCTTCTCTTGGAGAGGATGCATGGAGGCACCCACTGCCTGGCAGTGGAGCTCTGAAGACTGTGCTGCTGGTGTTTACCTGATGGTCCTTGATTTTGCAATACCCTTTAGTCCATGTTCTCTTTATGCACTGATAGCAGGTGTGGGTTTGGAGCCTGGAAGACATCTTGCTGGAGGTATCTGAAGCCCTCTCTCGGTGTGCAGCTCTAGCAATTAAAACATCTTTGAAAGGGCAAAAATTGACTGGTGCCCAACATTATTTTCAGTCCTCCACTACTGTCATGGATCCATCCTGGGGTAATATCAGCTAACCAGAATGCTGGGGGTTCTCTTTCCCAACAGGGGTTGGTCGTTTCAGATAAAAGGGACTTATGACTGAGCAGAGCCAACTCACAGCTCTACTAGAACACTAATCCTCTCCTATTGCAACCAAGTGACCATTGCCTAGGCAAATAGACAAAGTAGTTATTTAGCAATAGGTCCTATTTAAACCAGGACAGATCTTACATTTTCCATCTGTACTCACAGTATCTTCATTAGATGTGACAGGTACACTTTAAAAAATGCACAACTTGGAGTTCCTCCATGTGATCTTTGTTTGCGTTCCATGTTCATTACGGCAGACAAATATAATCAAGTAGTTAACTTTTCCAAGTACCAATTAGTTACAATTTTATAATGAGTAATCACAGCTTTCTCTCTACATTAATTTAAAATTACAGTTTTCAGAACCATTAGTGAAGAAAAAAATCAAACTAACCGCATGTCCTTTGTAAATTACTCTAATTATTTGGTCTTTGACAAGAAAGGCTCTAAATTAAGCAACCTTTGTGCTTTAAGAGTCTTGGAGTGCCAACAGAACACTAAATCAGTGAAAACTCCGTCTGGTGGGTGATTGTTATTATGTAGCAGAGTGAATGTATAGAAGAAAGGACAGGTTCATATTTTTATGAAGTGTTTGTGGTTTAATAAACTAAATTTATATTAAATGTTGTTTATACTTTACCTAAATGTTTCTCCAATTCCTCTTGATTATTAGAAGACAGAAGTTTTTATTCTATCTCTCACTATAATTGAGAAACATTCCCTCCTCCAAAAAACAGTGAATGATAAAATGGCTACATTATTTACTAAATCTGATGTAAGACACATTTAAAGTGAAATGACACTTTCTGGAAAACAACCCTAAATTATTTGTATACATCACAAGGATTTTAGCTTTAATGCAGATTTGTATCTTGTTCTGTTATCTAAATGATAGACCAGAGAACTAACTTCTTCAAAAATATTCAACTACTAGGTGGGAGGATTTGCCTGCTATTATCTTTTTTTTTTTCTTCAAAAAATACTTTTATTAGGAGAAAAAGGCATATCAAAACATATACAACTATGGATCACAGTCTGAATATAAACAGCACATTGTCTCCCGTTTTGCAGATGGGCCACGGAATTAAACTGCAACACAGATGAAGATGGAATATAACATTATATCAAGTGTATATTGAAAACCAGCAGATACCAAGAGTATAATAGACAAGTCGGTATAGTTATATTGTATACTAGCCTATATATTGGTAAGCTCTTGTGTTAAGGGAGTGTGGAGTGTTAGATAAGGATAGCACATGATGGTGCGTATGTTATGGTTTGTGTGTCTCTATCAGGAGCATGTGAGTTACGTGAAAATAGTCACACCTGTATGAAGATAAATATTCTATTTTTTTGGGGATAAATAAATAAAAGGTGTGAGATAAAGAGAAGTCAGAAAGGAGAATAGTTAGAGAGAGATATGTAGGGTGATACAGTGTGGGGGGGGGGGGGGGGGGGGGATATGGGGGAAAGAAAGAAAGAAAAAAAAAAAAGGGGGGGGTGGGAGGGAGGGGTGAGGATGGGTAATGGGTAGAGGGGATGTAGAATGGGTAATTACGGATAAAATAGATCACATCATAGAGCCACAGCCTATTCAAATGTGCATCAAGTGCATCTCCAGTGAATAGGGTGCTCCCCAGTACAGCATTGTGTCCAATCATTCAGTTAGGGGGTATAGGTTGTTCATGTACTAGTAGGTGATAAGTAGAAGTGGTTTTGAAATGACTCCAACATGCCCATGTCTTCCTGAATCTCTTGGGTTGTTCCTTAGCTACAGAAATCAGTTCCTCCATTTCTTCAATTTTGTTGATCCTAGCAAACCATTCTCGGATAGTGGGAACATGGGTTGAGTGCCAGTGGACTGGGATACATTGTTTTGCAGTGTTTACCATATGCATGGCGAGTGATTTACGGTACGTCCTAAATGGAAGTGTGGAGTGGTGAAGCAAGAATTGTGCGGGGGAGAGGTCTAGGGTATACGTAGTTACTTGTGCGATTGTAGATTGGACTTTCCCCCAGAAAGGCTGCAGCAATGGGCAGTCCCACCAGATATGCAAGAGTGTACCAGTTGCCTGGTGGCATCTCCAACGCGCATCTGAGATGTTGAGGTCAAATTGGTGAAGCAGGGATGGAACTCTGTACCATCTAGAGTATAGTTTAAAGTTGTTTTCTTGTGTGTGAGACAACTTTGGACCCTTTGTGAATATGTGCGTAAATGTGATCCCAATCTTCTTTCGATAGTTGTAGTTGTAAGTCAGAGCTCCAGGCCTTGCAAGCTTTCCTAAAAGGAAGGACAATAGTGTTTTCGAGGCACGTGTAAAGCTTGGATATAACATGTCTCTGGGGAGAGTCTGTTGAGCAAAGTTTTTCAAATGGGGTAAGTTGTCTAGTATATTCTTTTAGATGAGAGGAGCTGT